AGCATGCAGGCGCCATACCTTTGCCTCAATGAAATTTGTCAAATTGAAAAAAAAATAAAAAAGCACGGGTCCTCTGGACATTTCCCAGAATGAATCCTCTGATGAATCCCTGAGATGGCTTCAGAGATATTGTATCTTCCTCAGATGAATATATTCAGCCTATTTCAGTATCTCTAGAATCAGTTCAAGTGGACCACTTTATTTCCAGAATCTGCAAGTCTTTATACCTGAAAGAATCTTCTACTTCTAGCCTTTTCTTTTCGGATGCCAGAAGGAACAGAGCATCTTTTCCTTATTATGGAGGAATGAGGAATGGTTCTATAGAGAGACATTTTCAACACAAGGGAGTATCTCGAATCTTCATCCATTGGGATTTCAGACGCTAGTACCTAGTACTATGCTCTTAAGTGGATGATGCAATAGATAGACTGGCTAAATGTTCTACTCTGCTTGTAAACAATGTGGGCTATTTCTAAAAGCCTATCTGGCAGCTGGCACAGGCTTTCATGCTGCTGTAAACTCTTACCTTTATCTCTAACGATCTAAGATTAGTATGGATAATTTGAAGGATCATATTGGAGATAATCTTCCTTTTGTCTGTTTGAAAGTTTGAAAGTCATTAAACTGGGAATAATCTTCAACTCAGAAGCCTCCATAGGTTGTGTTGTACTCTAGCCAGAAATATGTCTCTCCCTGTGTCTGCTAGACATGCTCTTTGGCTCAGTACCTGGTCAAATGATGAATCCTCCTAGATGAATGTATCAAGAGAACAGCAGAGGGTGGGAAAGTTTGAATACTTCAATACTTCAGGAGACCCTTTCAATCCAAAGTCTTTCATTCCCTTCCTTCCAGGACTCAGGTATTTCACACGAGTAAGAGAGTGTGGTAGACCTCAACCTTGAGAAGTAGGTTGCAAAAGCAAGTATCAATACTACTGGCAGTCCCTTATTAGTTACCCAGTCCAGGGTTTGCACTTCTGCTAATCCTCTTCAGTACCTCCCTGGGATCTACCTGAGTTCTTTCCTCCTCCATCAGGTCTTGTGCTACTATCTTCATTCTGAAAGTTTGAATACTTAAAAAAAGGACTTAGACAGAAGGGGGGCACGAAAGGCCATGAAATCGTATCTCCTCAGATACCTTTACAGAGTTGGGGTGCCTTTCTTCACAGGTCTATTTTTAATTTGGTGATCATTCAAATGTCCTCTACCAATGAGGTTCTATAAATCTTCAATACAGGACTTGTCTAGAACACTTTAGAGGCAGCGCTAATTTTGTCGACTAGCAATTTTCATCATAGTTCATACTATAACTAGAGTAAAACTAGTTCATATAAACTAGACTAAAACAAACAATCCAGATGACTAAAATATGACTAAAACTAAAATGGCTTTTTTAGTCAAGACTGACTAAAACTAAATTGAAATTTGCCATCAAAATTCACACTGGTGGGTTAGACACATAGGGGATGAAGGAGGCTGGAAAAGGGGGCTGGGAAAATGAGACACATGGTGACTCGGGGTTTGGGACACATGAAGGCTGGGGTATTGAGACACATGAGGGACTCGGGGACTGAGAAACATGGGGGCCTGGGAGGAGACATATGAGGGGTAAATTAGACACATAGGGACTCGTGATTGAGACACATGGGAAATTGGTGGATTGAGAAACATGGGGACTGGGGTAATGAGACACATTGGGGGCTGGGGGAGTGAGACATATGGGGAGCTGGGAGAGTAATACACATGAAGAGACTTGGGGAGGAAATGAGCACATGTAGGGGCTTGGAGGAGAAATTGAGACACATGGGGTTCTGGGGGAGTGAGACACGTGGAGGAGATTAAATACATGGAGGTGCTGAAGGAAACACAAAATTACATAGAGGGCTAGGGGATTAAGAGACCAGGTGCACATAATGGGGCTGGTATCGGGGATGCAAATATCCATAAAGGAACTGGTGAAGGTGCGAATGAGTCAGACCGGGAATTTGGGGAGAGACACGAAGAAGGGCTAGGAAAACATGGAAAAATCGCAAAAGAGACAGACAAAGGCTTTAACTAAACCCATTAGATTTTAGTTGTGTCGACAAAAATCTACTGGATTTAGTCAACTAAATTCACATAACTAAAATACGACTAAGGGGCTAAGCTGGCAGCGTTTCCACCAGCTCCTTGCCACAGAAGCAATTTATCACTCCAGAACAACCTGGCATCTAGTGAAGCAACAGTGATCTCTGTGCTGGGGATAGCCCACTGGTCCTGTGGATGCCTTTTTTGTAGGCATCGGGCACCAAAACTCACGCAGAGTGCTTCTGGCCGCCGCACATTACCTCCTGGGACAGTGACGGTTTTGACTCGGCTTCTATCTCAGCAACTCTGCCTCGTGAAGTGCCAAGACCCACGATGGGCCACACATCCCAGAAACCGATGCCAACAGCAACGGTCTCTCACCAAGATACTAGCCAGGTGCTGACCTGGACTCCACCTACTGGCACACTTGCAGGACATGTTCTTTGCGGAGATCAACCTGGTAAAAAACTAATTACAAGCAGTAACTGACCACCTCCATGCCTGAGAGGAGAACTGCGACATGACAACTCAAGGGGAATCAATGCAGCACCTGCAAAATTCCCAATCCCAAGTAGTTGCCAGAATGGATACACTAGAAGACAAGATCCAAAGAACGCAAAAATTTGGGAAGTAGATGAATCCGTACCCACCGACGAATCATTAAATCTCATCAGGAGTTTATCACATTTATCCTACCGGCTAAATAAGCTAACCAGTTTGCATATGATGGACTCTACCGCATTGCAAAATTTTCGCAAATGCAAACTAACGTTCCCAGAGACATTATTCCCTCCTGCCGGTCCTATGCGGACAAAAAAAGGCTGGTACAGGAGCTGCAGGGGAAAATCACATTTCTATTTGAGACTCACCTTCTACCAGAATCTAAGCAAGGCCACCCTACTGTGGCTAAAAGTAATGCACCCCATCAGCAGCCCCTACAAACAACTGGCCTTTCCTACAAATGAACGTACCCAAGAGCAGTTATGTGCACCAAGGGTGTGAAGACTTACAAAGCTGCTAATCCTTCGGAGGGTCCAAAACTCATACGGACCCTGGGCCTTTTGATGCCAGTCTCTGCAAAACCTTCTCCTGGGATGTCGACAGCATCGCCCCCTTTATTCCAGGAGGGGAATGGGACTTAGTAACTTGAATATGAGCATAATCGCATACTTTACCATGTTTAATGCTTATATTATTTCACCTTTTGATTTTAAGTTTATTATTGCCCTACTGACTACTACATTCACAGTTTTAGTATTGCACACTGAATACCCAGTTATTGATTTACTATAATGCTCCTGATGCTATAGTTTGACCAAAACTACATATTCAGCTACCGAATACTCCTACTAATCTTGACACACTTATACTCCCCCCTACTCCCTGATGGGATAAGGGAACAATTTATGAGCCTGGGACATTGGTGCTACTCTCCCGCAAACTAAATTGGCATCTAAATGCCAGCGTACTAGTCAGGCTTGCCACTGACACTTTACTTAGATGCACCAACATCCCAAGCATGAGCGCTTTAAATATAGGAAGATTTCTTAATTTTGTTAGTTTTTATTTTCCAGTTGTCTTATTGAGCCAGGGTGATTGTTGACACTTTCCCACACACTGCAATGGCCTCTGAAGCAAGCGTAATTAGTCCTGATGGCCCTCCAATATGTAACTTAGAAACACCAAGATCCCGAGCATTATAGCGTACAATAACACAGGATCTCTTTATCTAGTTAAATATGCTTTTCTTTTTTGTTTTAAATCATAAGACAATAGTTGTGTCTAGATAAAAAATGTTTCACCAGGCCAGTTATACTCTTTGACACAGACATTTACGAGTAACCTATTACTACTGTTACCTAGTCTAGTTTGTCATTCTAGACATCTCCTGTTTTATATTACAAAAGTGTCATGTCAATTTTTATAATGACCTTTTCTACGCATTTCACAACAGCATAATTGTTTCAACTGTACCTGTCATGTTACTGCCTATGCTGATAATCTCTAGCCCGTACCACGGTTTTGCTCATTTAAATCCTCAAATCTGTATCTGAATTTACTCATAAAGTGAAACAAGAAAAGTATTCTTCCAGCTCTATTCTCTTCTATTGATTAGAAGAAAGATTCAGAAATGAAACTTTCTCCTCTTGCACTCGATAGATGTCTTATGATCTATGTCTTTAGATCTACTATCTAGCTTTTTTCTTCTGATTGACTGTCTATTTTTCCTAATGGACCAGAAGAGGCATTCAAGCAGCTATATAAGCCATCAGCAGATGGATAGTCTTGGCTGTTTCCAGCCTACCAAGCCAATACTTTTATCAGGCATTTTTTGTTTGTACATTTCAGTTGGTCAGTTAAAGAATGTGGTAATAGTTTGCTGTCAGTTTTTTTTTTTTTCCCCAATGCCCTTATGAGGTGTGTGTCATCACTTTGCATTCATAATTTGGAAGTTTTGTGTATTTCTTTCCCTCCCTTGGTTATTGCTTGAGTATTACTCATTGTTGTGTTGCCATGGATATGGCAAGGAAAAAGGAAAATGTATTCCTACTTACTGTAATTTTCTTTTCCTGGTCATAGGCCATTGCACCACCTTGGGATATTGCTGGAAGCAAGATGGAAGGTGGGAGGGGTAGGAGCGGGTACTTATATCACCTGTTTTAATTAGGTTTCTGTCTAATTAGTGATATGTAGGAGCTACCAATTGTTGTGCTGCCATGGCTTATGACTAGAACCGGAAAGTATGGTAAGTAGGAATACTTTACCTATGAAGCTAGATCCATACCAGAACTCTGGCAATTCCTAAAAAAATCTTCTTCATTAAATCAAATATCCATATGTTGACGTTCCACTTCTAACCCAGTACTTTTAGTACTACAAAACTGATTTGTTTTTTTACTGAGGAAAGTTCTGGGTTAGAATTGAAATGTAAAAACCAAAGAAAAAGTTACCTGCTCTCTCTCCTAAATCCCTATGTATATTTAAACAAATTGAGGTAAATATACATAGGGATTTAGGAGAGAGTGCAGGTAATTTTTTCTTTGGTTTTTATTGTATGTATTGGGGCTGCTGTGTACTGTGGTCATTGCTGCCGCCCAGGAGTGATGGGAGTCAGCGTAGGACTTGCTTTTTTGTATTAGAATTGAAATGTATTGATCTGATAAATAATTTTTGGGGGGCTTCCCAGAGTGCTAGTATGATTTTTGCTTCATGTATATTGTGTTGCAGAGCATCGGGTAACATAAGTCAATAATACTGCTTAAGTTGGAGTGCATATATATATACACATATCATATATGTATATGATATGTATGTAATCTGCACTCTAGGGTAAACCTCTGTGTGCCTTTATGGATAGCACTATGAGACTTTACTAAATATATGCACGGTATATAGAAGGCATGCTTTTAATATGCCATATTTATCAGTCTGCATTGTGAGATAATGCAAATCTGTCTAATTGATTTGCATTAGCACTAATTAGAAAGATTCTACTGTAGAAAGAAACCATTTCACTAGGCATTCATCTTTTGTCAATTTGTTTGAAATTCCTCTAAACAAGACCAAGCAATATGTTGTGACATTAACAAGACAAGAGATAAAGATAATAGCAAAACATTTAAAAACCATCATCAACACATTGTGTTCTTTGTTTATAAGCAATTAATGCTGCTATAAAGCATTGCTGCTGGTAGCTATCTGCTGTTGTGTCTGTTTTGTTTGAGTGCTTATAACTTAGTCAAAATTAAATTTCTTTTAAACATGTGTACTGCAGTAAGACTGATATGATGTTGATCTTGAAGCATTTATATTTCTTGCATTCTTTATATAATTTCAAAATGAACATCTTCACCATAACTAGTAATAATCACGAGGTCCTAGGTGAAGAATCAAAGAATGGCCCCGCTCAGTGATTTCCCCTTAAGCAATCCACCTAAGTGGGAGGTTGGGGTTGGCTGAGTGTGTTTGCATGCAAGGCTGGCTGAGAGTGATTGCATATGCGGTTTGACTAAGTGTGATTGTGTGCGAGGTTGGCTGAACATGATTGTGCGCGGTTGTGTGTCTGTTAGTGAGTATGTGTGTCTGTTAGTAAATGAGTATGTGAGTGTGTGTCTGTTAGTGAGTGAGTGTGTGTCTGTTAGTGAGTGTGTGTCTGTTAGTGAGTGAGTGTGTCTGTTAGTGAGTGAGTGTGTCTCTGTTAGTGAGTGAGTGTGTCTCTGTTAGTGAGTGTGTGTTTTGCAGGGAGTGTGTCTGTTGGAGAGTGTGTTACTATGTGTGTGTCTGTTAGTGAGAGTGTATGCATGTCTGTTAGTGAGAGTGTATGCATGTCTGTTAGTGAATGTATGTGTCTGTTAGTGAGTGTGTATGTCTGTTAGTGAGTGTGTATGTCTGTTACCTAGTGTATGCGTGTGTGTGTGTGTGTGTGTGTGTGTGTTTAGAAGGCGGGGTAGGGGGGAAGGGAGGGGTGGCGCCTGAGTTTTGTCATGCCTAGGGCAGCACAAAACCTGGATACACCACTAAGTGTGGGCAGCAAAAAAGATGGTCCTTCATGGACACCTTATACAAACTGCTACTCATAAAAAGAAAAGTAAAACCAAAGAGCTTTTTGATACCACCCCTGAAAATTAGCAGAGCTTAGAACATTGAGACATTTGATAAAGGAAGACTCTTTTGACGAGATGACAAAATGTCAAACATTTAAAAATATTCTGCTACGAGAAGTCCAACAAAAAGGACACACTCATTACCCATCCAGATAATGCACCAAAATGATAACTGCTATTTAAAACAAAGATGACCCGTCAGTTCACAACAGGAAATGAAAAGGGTCTTTACTGACTATAGTTCAGAATTATATAATCATTGACCTCTATTAACAAATTTGAATGCTTCTCATATCGAAATGATTTGAACATTTCTACAAAAAACACCCATCCCAGGGGTAGAATATAATCAACTGAAATCATTAGGCACCCCACTCAAGAAAGAGAATATATCTATAGCTATTTCTGCCTTTAAAGGACAAAAATCTGGATCAGACGAGTTTGATGGGAGCTACTATAAGGTTTTTAGAGAAGAACAAACACCTCACCTTGAAACCCTTTTTAATAAAATGATGAAAGGAGGGATACCCACCCCAGATATGTCATTCCACAATATTGGGCTGTTCCCTTAAGTCGTTCTTATTCTATTTTAAATCAATTTATACAGGCAAAATATATAACATTAAGGGTATTATAACATGTAACAGTAAAAATGTGATCTACTTATTGGAATGCCCATGCGGTCTCCAATATATTGGATGGACTATTAGACCATTAAATGTGCACATTACCTAGGTAATCTGCAGATTAACTAGGGCGATCAGTTAAAGTGCAGAAAATTATTTTGTTTCTCAAATATTTCTCACATTACCTAGGTAATCTGCACATTACCGACTAGGCACTTGTTAAAGTGCAAAAAATCATTCTGTCCTCCATCTCTCTCAGGGGCTCACAGCTCTGGAGGACACCATGGTGTGCACAGGCTGCTGTTCTGTTCTTGTCTGGACCACATAGTCACATACCTCTTCAAACAGTTATTCCGAACTGGTAAGAAATGAAGAGCCCCCACCACCACAAGAGAGCGAGTGCTTCCTGCACATTATGCAGCAACACCCTGAAATGATCCCAGAAGATGCTCTCCACTGTTCTCAGTATCATCATTTATTTGAAGACTGTCGGAATCAGCAGACCTCTCCTTGGTCTCATTCTCCTCAATGAGAGAAGTATTTCTCGGACTTACGGAGCAGCATTGTTAGTAGCCAGCCCCTCTGAGAAGCAACAAGCCATGCATCTGTGCTTTGAGAATGTGATGGTGGAGGGCATTGAAAGGAACTTGCTCACAAAAAGAATCGAGACAGGTTCACACAGAATCTTTCTGCCTTCAGATGAGAAGTAAACGACTCTGCAGAGACTGCACTGAAAGGGTGAAACAGGTTCTGCGAGGACGTTTTTGTAATAAATAATTTCCTATTTTACCGAGGGAAAGAAACAAACATTTTGCACTGAAAGGGTGAAACAGGTTCTGCAAGGATTTTTTTGTGATAAATAATTCCTCTATTATCGAGGGAAACAAACATTTTGCACTTTAACTAGACAGAAGCAGTTAATGTGCACATTACCTAGGTAAAGTGCGAAAAACTCTTGATTCTGCACTTTAACTGAGCAAATCAGGTAATCTGCATATTAACTAGGTATTGTGTACATTAACTGATTTCTCACTTTAACTGTAACATATATACTATATACATTATATAAAAAAAAATTCTAAAAATCTTTTTAGACTTTTTAAATATTTATTATAGGTTATTTATGTATATTTTTATTATTTTTCCACCATACATTTTAATCTATGGATTAACAGTGACACCCACTCCCATTTCCTTACCAACTATATATACATATATATATTTTTTCCCTCACTACTTGTATATTTTCTACAGCATGCCATATATAATATTTTGCTGTGTTGTTTATGGATTTTTTGGAATATTAATGATCCTCTATTTATATATTTCATTCTCATTGTGAACAGTACAATCCATTACTTTTCTTCTTTAAAATACCTTTTTTTCCTTCTATGCATGACAGCAAAGGCAAAATGCTTTAAAATTGTAAATCACTTATTCTTATAAACAAATGCTTGATACAACGTTTTATTATTAAAAAACAAAACAAAAACAAAAAAGAGGCTGTATTTATATACATGTGTATTCTATGCACTTTATATGTCCCATCCCTCCCCCTCCCCCATGGGCATATACATATTCTTAGACAGTCGAGTCACTACTGACACAAATGCAAAACCACAGCATTTCATATATACTGTCACATTTATTTATATCTTTATTTAGACACTTCACACTCACCACACTTACATAGTTTAATTTTTTTTAATCTCTTTATATTTTTTATATATATATTTTCACTTTAACTAATATAGATACCCAGGACTATACACTTATAATTATATTCCACTTTTAAAGTAAATCATATTTGTTCTCTTGTTCATTTTTTTTCCTTCTTTTTCTTTTCTTTATGTTGTATGATGCCCTATTCCAAAATGGTTGAAAACACACTTCGGCATTTGCACATTAAAAAGCTGTGCAACGTCATTTCCGGTATGACGTCACACCCACTTTGAAGTGCTATCCACACACTTTATGTATCGATAAGAGGATATAATCATGCCAAACTCGAACAATATCACTTCACCTTCTTTCTCATACACAGGACTAGTAATACATCGGTAGTACTACAACAAAACCATTACGCCCTATATGCGTTCCAAAAAAAAATAAAAATCTAATTTGCGCTATATGTCTGTTCAACCAGAATTCCCCTCTTTCATATTAAGTGCATCCACACTCTCCCATGAAGTCAAACAACTATTTTACACATTTAACTCTCTTCTTCGCCCTATTGTTACTCTTCCACCTACCAACTTGTGGGCCTCAGACTTCACTGACAATATCACTACAATCAAGGAAGAGATCTCTCATCTTTCTTCTTCCCCTTACAATACTTCCCCTTACTTCACTCCCTCTGCTGTTCTGTGTTCATTCGCACCCGCTACAGCGGAAGAGGTTTCTGCTCTGCTCCAGTCCTCCCACCCCACCACCTGCTCTCTAGATCCAATTCCCTTGCATCTCATCCGTGCTCTCTTCTTCTCTTTCTCTACCTCTCACTAAAATTCTCAATCTCTCTCTCTACTCTGGCATATTTCCATCGCCCTTCAAACATGCAACTGTCACCCCAATTCTAACGAAACCCAACCTTGACCCTAACTCCCGTCCTATCTCGCTACTGCCTTTTGCATCCAAAATCCTTGAAAGAGTTGTGTTTGTGAGATTGACAGACTTCTTTGAGTCCAATTCTCTGCTAGACCCTCTTCATTCTGGTTTCCGTGCTAAGCACTCTGTAGAAACGGCACTGACCAAAGTATCCAATGATCTTCTCGCTGCAAAATCTCATGGTCACTACTCTATCCTAATTCTCCTTTCTG